AAAAAAGTATGGCAATTGTTGTACTACGAGGTGAGCTGATCGATGCAGTCTGCCTTGTCTGAACATCAAATGTTCTCAACACGCAGACTCCGTCGTTCCTGTTCCCATAGTTCATCATCATTGGCAAAAAAGAGAAAGTGCGGTCGGGCGAGCGCATCAATGTGAGAAAGGGAACAATGCGCGAAGCTCAGCTTGCGAAAATGAGGGCGAGTTCTGACGCGCGAGATTTTCTTGGGCCTCGACGCTAGTCTTATAGCACTCTGGCCACGGGCAAAGGTGCCATTGCCAATTTGCTGGGCAGAGCGAGCGAAGGGCAAAGAGAAAGCGCCTTCATGCTCCTGCAGGTGCGTCCCAGACTACTTGCGCGTCGAAAGCGATAATGGCCTCTCTCACACCACAGCGGCGGACCTGCACCCTGCACTTTTCGCGCGCAGTGCGTCTACACGATCGTGTGCACCTTGCCCGCACCGCTCATCTTCTACAAGAGCGCGAGATGGTCCAGCATTTTTCTGTGGGTGTTGAACCATCCCCGAAGTCCGAAGAACTTGTGCGCAGCATGATGTGATGGCTCACCTTGCTTTGCGACTCGGCGTTCGTGTGGCACCGAAAGGCTCACATTACTCGTCCTGAGCCTTTGGAATGGCGGTGAGTGCCGGGCTTGTAGAGCTGGGAGTGCTCGAGCAGTCTAGCTCATAGTCTTATCACTTTGCCGACTCAAAGCGTCTTACTTGGTCGAAGTGACCTTTCGTCGGTATGTTTGCGGGAGCTCGAGCACATTCAGACAGGCGCTGGAGGGAGTTTCTGACGTGCTCCTTGCTCTTGCGCCTGTCTCTTGCCCTCCTGCGCTCATTGCATCATTTCTGCCGCCTCTTGTACGCCCACCGCACGCAGCTTCGAAAAGGAGCTGGAAAAGTTGCGCTTGGAAGTGCAGCAGGCTCAAGAGTATGCCTTGGCGTTGGACTCAGAGGAGTCTAGGAGCACCGCACATACCAATACCAACACGAACGCGAATGCGAGCAGGAGATCTAGTAGGGAGGTCAAGCTGGATGAGCTGCAGTCAGCAGAAACCAGAAAGGATGTTTGAGCAGGAGCCCTTGCGAAAGAGTCATCGTTTGGCCGAAGATGATATTCAGTGTAGCAGGCACCGCGAGCAAGAGTGTACAAAAGTTGAGCTGTCGAGCTGTCGAGTGACCGTCAAAGTCAACTTGAATGGCTCACGATCGTCTGGGGGCGCACTTTCCTCGTCTGACTTGGCCAGCCGCTGGGCCCGCAACGCCGCACACTTGTGTGAAAGCACGGGAATGGACGAGTTGTGGGACGTGTAGGACAGTGTGACGTAGTGTTC